CGCCCAATGACAGCGGGGATAGGCTCCAGCACCCCACTGCGACCCAGAAGGATAAGCGGTTTAGATGATGTATGTATGTATGTAAAACAGATAAATACTATGTTGCAATGAAATTCCCACACAAGAGCAAAGTTTCAGTACACTGTTCTATTAAGGCCCGAAACATACTTCACACATTTTATAATGCAACGCAATCTGCATTCTGAGCGTTACAACAGGGGGCGCTGTTATGACAGCCAAGCTTGTCCAGCGCGATTTTTTAACTGCCATAGCAGATGAGCAGTTGAGTCTCATGCAATCGCCATTCCATTCCAGCAGAAGAGGTGAAGCAGCTCACTCTCCTCTACTGTCCATGTTTATCTGTTCAGGCTGTTGGAATAACACTAGATCTCTGATTTGTCCTCTAGCGCCCCCTTCAGTACTGAGTGTTGTAACCGCCACAGCTACGTAAGAACGCATAGTGAGTTTGCACAGAAGGACAGGAGCTTTTGGAAAATGTTGGCCAAATGCTGTAATTTGCGTTCGGTACTTCAGTTGAGTATGTTTCTGGCCTAAGAATGAATTCATTCTATAAATGAATGTAGTTTCCATAACATAACATTATTTGAGCTTTATTGATGATACCTTTTATTATCAGTCGATTGAATCAATAAATGATATCGATTGGGCCATAGTATAACCTGGCTCACTATGGAAAATAAGGGCAAAGCTGGAGTTGAAGTGCTGGAGGAGGATTGCACACTCGTAAAATATGATTCTTCAAGGGTTCTTCAGTAAACGCAATGGTTCTATATAGAACCATGAAGACTCAGTACCATTTGCATGCTTAAAGAGTTCAGGCCTGGTGGAATGGTTCTTCAGATTGATGGAGAATGTGTTGTAGAGGGTTCTATATAGCACCAAAAAGGTTCTTGTGTGGTATACAAGGTTGACTTTGCAACAATAGCATAACCCTCTTTGGTGCTATATAGATCCATGTACAACACATTCTCCATTAATTTGAAGAGCCATTTCACCATGCAAAGAACCATTAAGCATGCAACTGGTTCTTTGATTGCTCATGGTTCTATATAGAACCATTATTGTTACTAAAGAACCCTTGAAGAACCTTCTTTTTAAAAGATCCGTCAGCCACAGGCATTAAAAAGTGTCAGACGTCCCTGAATTCCCACAGTGCGGCTTACAAATGCACTGCCAGGCCTTTCAGCAGGTGCGCCGCTCATCATCTTACGCAATTTGATGTAGACAGATACATTATAAGCCCACAAACACATGCGCGCATGCCCCCCAGCGCCTCTGCTCCACGAGTATCAGCATGCACCTCCGCGTGTCGGCCGAGTGAAAGCAGGGAGTGCGTTTTCGGCCCTGATGGACAGCTCAAATTGGGCAGGATGGCGAGGAGGTGACAGAGAGCGACTCATCACGCGTTCCGCCGCGACTCGGAGGGAAATAGGGAAATAACAGACCTGTCACGCTCGCCCGTTTCAGCCTTCATTAACAAAATCATCTCTCGCTCTTTCATTCTCTCCCCACTCTGTCTGGCCCTCATTCCAGCCCGCGCCGCCACTCGCATGCCTCCGCCTCAAATAACCTCTGTTTATTCGCCACAGACAGCAGAGGCCTTCAGAGACGGACAGAACAAAGAGCAGCGCAGGAAACACCAAAACAGAATCTAAAGCAGCGCTTCTGCAGTCTGAGTCGCAGTGAGAGAGGACACAGTTGGGTCGAGCGAGGCTAACCACCAAAATCAAAGAGCAAAGATCGCTAGCCTACATTAACCGTAGTTTCCAGGTGGCTTTATCAGCTAAACAGTCAGATATGCTGTCGAGCAAAGGTCTTCAAATCTGGACATCGAATCCAATTTTCAAATCTGGGGTCGTATTACAGAAACTTCCTGTCTTTTATCATAAGTTATTCATATTACAGAGGCAATTCTCGTCTTAAATTGAGGAACTTTCTCTTCTCTTACAGCATCTTCTCAAGTTAGGAAATCTTAAACTGCTTGGTCAAAGTCGACAATCAATGGTCATGTCTTATTTAATAACTGACCGTAAGTGCACAGCTGAATTGTAAACACGTAATCAAAATAGTGTTAAGAAGTCAGGCCAGACAGCTGCTGTTACTGATGGAAAAAAGGTCAAAACAAAACTAAAGTGTGATAAACTAAGTTGTAAATACTGTGAGAGCGCCCCCTGCTGTTTATCAGTGTCACCGATCTCCAGTTTCAGTCTCCATTTCCCAAACGCTTTAGCCGAGCGCGCTAACGTTACTCCTCCTCATAAACAGACACACGTTCAGCTCCGTCTCCTCATTATTCACCACCATCGGAGCTGAACGTGTGTCTGATTGATTATGTGTTTACATTTCAGCTGCGCGCTTACGGTCAGTTATTAGATAAGACACGACAATTGATTGATTGTAATATTTCATCATCAACATTAACACACGAAGGTAATCAGAGGGGCGGTGGAGATCGAGTTTGCAGTGTTTGAGATTTTTAAAATGCAGAGTTAGAAAATAAAAACATCTCACAGTGAAAAGCAGCGTTAATAATGCAATGGGTTCTTGGAGTGTTCGTGGTTCTAGATAAAACCATTTTATTTACTAAAGAACCCCTGTAGAACCACTTTTAAGTGTGTAGTTCGATTGCTTGTTACTACATGAAGTATTTTATTTTTTTATTTATTTATTTATTTTATTTTTTTACAGTGGATGGATGGAATAGTTCTTTGCACAATGATTTAGAAGAACCATAAAAAAAAAAAACAACTTTAAATCAATGGAATGAATTTTCGTATGAAATGTACTGGGAAGAATCTCTAAATTAGTGTAGAAACTACGTTATGCAAATTTTCTTTAAACTATTTATTAAAGTTCTTCACACTCACAAATCTCTTTCAGACCAGGGAACCAAAAATGGTTCTTCTACAGCATCACTCAAAGAACCCTTTGCACCACCTTTTCAGGAGTGTAGATATAAGGACAGACAAATAGAGCCAAGAATATTTCTGAAGAGAGCGAACTTCCTCTAAATATCAGTCACTAATTAAATATGACATACAGATATTCATAGTCTTCATGTGTAATTTACAGAACCAGTGAGACCTGCTGAACTCCAGCACCTCCACTGTGGGGCTCCTGATGATCTGGACTCAAAGCTAAAACATGAAAGATGGTTCTATAGTCTCTGCAGAAAGCTCTCTCTCTCACTCTCTATTTATCTCTCTCTCTCTCTCTCTCAGTTTATTTGTGAGAGTTCAGGGCAAGAAACACTGCGTCAGGAATAGTTTGGCTGGGTGCTGCAGAGAAGTTGTTCATTATCAATTATGCATGCAGGGACATCTCCTGGATCGAGCCTCGTAAGAGTGGCTTTGATTCGGGCTGTACGGAGACAGACGGGCTATTAACGTAGGTGGGAGAGGACCGCAGAAAACGCTCCGCCCCCATTCGGTAAACATGACCTATTTAAAAAGATCTATTGCTTATCTGCTCAAACACAAGCAGCTTCAAAGATTCGTTTACACTCACCTTCCTAAATGTTTCTTGACTCAAACACATGTTCTAGCAAAAGTCCTGATATAGAACTGCAGCCTCATGTAGAGCTTCCTAAAGCTTTCACATCTCATGTATAAAAAGGTTCCCAACCACTGGGCTGCGAACCAGCACAAGATACAGAACCGCAACAGTGCAGCAGTGGGCAAGAGCAGCTAGTAGCCTTTCTGGTGTTATAGAACATTTTTTTGTTAAAGGTTCTTTAAAGAATCATGTACAACAGGGTTTTGTCACAAGACCAGGGTTTGGTCATAGCAACATTTTGGTATTATATAGAATCATAGAGATCCATTTAACCATGCAAAGAACCATTTATGCATTCAAATGGTTCTTGGAGTTGTCACGGTACTGAAGAAACACTTTGTACAAAGCAGGGAAAACCTGTTATATATGGTTTTTATAGCGTCTTTTTAAATGGTTCTTTATAGTTACAAAGGATGATTCTATGTCTTGTAATAGAACCTTTTTGGTGCAATATAGAACCATTTTAAAAGATTCTTTGAAGAACCATATGCAGTGAACCTTTTTCGTACTCTTTTCTTATCATAGAGATCCATTTAGCCATGCAAAGAAACATTTAAGCCTTCAAGCGGTTCTTTATTTTACTAGAGTACTAAAGAGCCTTTAAAGCACCACTTTGTACATATCATATCTGGTTCTCTCAGGAAGTTTAAAAATGATTCTGTTTAGTACCAAAAAGACTCAAGGGAACCCGTTTTGTTGCAGTATAGAAACGCTTTTTAAAAGGCTCATAAGGATTATAGATCACAGGCTTTCCATCCAGACGAGAAACCAAAGAACCATTCTGCCTTCAAATGGAACAACAATGTTGGTTTGCATTCCAGTCATTCTTTTTGTTGTCACACTGCTTTTTTTTTTTTTTAATTGTTCCATATAGTACCCAAACTTCAGACTTATAAAAGGGACCCTTTTGGTACTCCTTACTCCTTTCCATCACAAGAACAACTGTACAAACAGCCATTTATGCATTCAAGTCATTATTTTTATTGTCACAGTACTAAAGAACCCTTAAAGAAACACTTTAAACAAGTCATCTATGGTTCTCTAAAGAATCTTTTGAAAATGGTTCCATATAGTTCGAAACTAGTTCCATGACTTGTAAGGGACCCCTTTGGTGTTCCTTAAATCTTTCCATCACAGAGAAGAACCTTTTAAACGTTCAAATGGTATACAAAAGGTTCTTTGGGATGTGACGGTACTAAAAAAACCCTTGAAGAACCAAAACAAAGCATGAAGTCTGTTTTGTCACTAGAGAAAAGTTTTCGTACAAAGTCACTGCCAAAATAAGCAGTGGTGGGTTTGATGCAGCTCTTCTGTTGTATTTTCAGGAAGGAGCAACAATAGCATTGCAGGAGAAGTGCTGTGTGTGGTTGCGTGTGGTAGCGTGTGGGTTTTTTCCTGTCAAATTCTCAGCAAACGGGACTCACATGTAGCGTAGTTGTGGGTTCTGCGCAAAGGCTCGAGGTAGGATCCCCCTCAGATTGCAGTTCATGATGGTTCTGAAACACAAAGAACACAAATATTGTTGCTTCCTCAACCAACCGCTGTGACATTTCTCAAAAATGTGTAGCAGCACACTCCAGCCTCGGGGCTCCAGCCTCGGAGCTCCAGCCTCGGAGCTCCAGCCTCAGCGCTCCAGCCAGCGGACAACGCTAGCTGAGCTCAGGGAAGAAAAGTAGGGGTTATGTAAATTGCTTAAAAAAAGGCTAAAGCTGTGACTGTATCTATGGAAACCGTGACAATTACTCAGGCTGTGACCACCGTCCTGCAGAGAGGGACGATTGGGTCATGCTAACGTCAGACGCATGGGAGAGTGCGCTGATTAGCAGCTGATTTAAAGGCTCATTTAAGGTAAATCACAGGTCTGGGCAGAAGTGAGAGGGCTGAGAGCAGGAGAGCAGCTCATGTTAGGTTTTTTAACTTCCTCTGACAGCAGCGCAGTCTGAGCGGCCCGATAATTGCCTAGACAGCTAAGGGCGACAGTTCTGGGGGGGGTGGGGGTTTTAGAAGTAAAAGAGGAAAGAAGAAGTCATCTACACTGTCAGTAATAAAGGTTCTGTTCAGGTATAATTCTCATTCATCAAGGTACAAACAGTGTGAATGTTCCCTCAAAGGTACAACAGTGGTTTTAAGGTCTGATTGTGAACCTTAAATCAGTTTTTCCAGGTGAAAAGTTCGTATTTGTACCTTTTCATAACCGAATGTTTTAAAACAGAACAGTAAAATAAAAGCCTGGAGACGAGACGGGGTGTGTGGAGTCAGTACAGCTTAGAACATATCATTTCAGTGGATTATGGTTCAGTTATGTTCCCTGACTGAAGGTTCTGAGATGGACCTTTGAGGGTTCCACACCAGTGACAAGAGGGGAACTGCCCCAGTGACAGTTTAGTACCTTTATTTCTGAGAGTGTAGCGCTCTCTTTGAGCCCATCATCTTTCTTCCTGCAGCATCATTACAGCCAGGATAGGCATGAGGAACCCAGAAGAACCCCCCCCCCCTGCTGGGGTTATTCTCTCTGGCATCTGGAATCAATTATGTATATTGAATACATTTTTATCATTGGCATCTGTGAGATGTTTATTTGCGCAGAGCACTCGCAGCTCTTTTCATTACTGTCATTCGGGGGAGTGATTAGATTGGCGTATTCGGCTTTGCGACAGGACGGGGACGAACAGACAACGGGAGTGATGCGCAACATCGGCTTAATTGTTCGTTTGTTTCTCTGACTCAAATGTCAAAAAACAGAGATGCTTCTGCACTCAAAACATCAACCGAACGCAGAACCGTTTGACTTATAAACCGGAAACGTCAACGTTAATTACAACTGCATTGCATTATATATTGAGGTAGCAAAGCATGGCTTTCTTTAAAGCCCATAAGTTCTAGGTATTAACTGAGTGTCAATTACTCTCTGGTTCTAGAAACTGTCAACCAATCTCTAGTTCTAGATAATTTCACAAGGTCTAATTTCAACTAACATGATGATAAGTTCTGGGACAGTTCAACTAAATTACTCAGAAATGGGTAAGTACTCAGAAAATGTTCTAGGTATTAACTGAGTGTCAGTCAATCTCTGGTTCTAGAAACTGTCAATCAATCTCAATCTCACAAGTTTGAGATAATTATTTTGACTAACGATGGTAAGTTCTGGAACAGTTTAACTAAATTACTTATTATAATAGGTTCTAGGTATTAACTGACTAATTGTGAGGTACAAACTCTAAAGTACTACATAATTATTTCGGAGAACATAATGAGTTCTGAGACAATTTAACTAAATTATAATGAAATGCCAAAAAGGTTCTAGGCGTCAGCTAAGTGTGAGGTACAAACTCCAAAGCACTAGATAATTTTTTGGGTAACAAAATGATGGTAACCTCTGAGTTTAAGTAAATAACTCAGAAACGCCAAACAGGTTCTAGGTAATAGCTGTGTACCCCATCATGGGTAACATGACGGTAAAATAGGTATCTAGTACTTTGGAGCTTCTACCCCTCATATATTCAGCTAGTAATTCAGCATTTCAGTGTAATTAGTAAAAAAGTCTCAACTCACTTATGTTCCCTGAAATAATTATGAAGTACTTTGGAATTTGTACCTCACTCTCACTCAGTTAATACCTAGAACATGTTTGGCATTTGAGTTTAATTTAGTTATGCAGTCTTAGAACTTACCATCAAGGGTAACATGAATTGAGAATAACTAAATTAAACTGAAAATGCCGAACAGGTTCTAGGTATTAGCTGAGTATAGGTGGGGTACAGTCTCCAAAATGCTGCATAATTATTTTGATCAAAATGATGGTGAGTACTAAGATGAAATAAGGTTCTAGATATTGAACTGATAAAGGACATAGTATAATTCCATAATTAATTGTAGTTACAACATGGTAAATATACACTCTCACTAAATTTCACTGTAACTTCATATATTTGAGCAGAAAAGTACATCAGAAACTCATCCAAGTAGCGGCTGAGTTATATGATGTAAAATGATGGCACAAAATTTTGTTGGGTAAATGGTAAGAACTCAGTAGAACCCCCAAACAGATACATACTGATATGAGAATCTGATTACTGAGCTAAAATCCAGCCTCTTTATCAGATTCCTTAATCAGATTTCTAGACCTTATGTAACGGAGTTGAAATTAAACAGTTGATAAAATATTGAATTTCACCAAAATGACTCCATTTCTGTAAAAAGGTTCAGAACAATTGTAAAAAGTTATTTATATTTTTCTAAAAAAGGTTATAATTATTTTTAGGGAGCTTTTCTTTTCTTGCTGTGACATGACTGCAGACTGTGTCCCTCTGCTGCTGCCGTACCTCCATCAGACGAGTGAAAGCTCTGAGATGGACGGTGTGTAGCTGCTGTGGTTTCTCATGAATATATAATTCAATTCAGTTCATATCGAGTTAAAAACTGTAAAACATTGTTCTAACACATTATATGAGCATGGGATAATTTTCTCACAGTGTGGTTTTGATTATAAATGCTATTATTGTCGAGTTATTGCTCAGACATGTGCTTCAGCTAACTGAGCCATGGTAGCGAAATAGCTAGCTAACACTCTCCCTTGGCAGCAAGGTTGCATTATAAGAACTTCTCGCTTCTTCTTATTTCATTTTTATATGCTCAGCATGTGAGGTCTGCAGCCGTCTAAGGCAAGAGAAGATTAATACACTATAAAATCTGTTCCAGGTATGTGCTCCCTAGTCTGTTCCCTCCTAAAATGTGCAGTGCATTTTGCTGCTGGTAGCCACGCAGCGTTAATTGTTTGTGTTTGTTCTGCAGTACGTTCATTTTGTCGTGCAATAAGAGAGAAAAAAAAAAAAAAAAAAAAACGCTTTTCTCTGTAATTTTGGAATTTTTATAATGAGAACAAACTATACGATCTCGTGCATGTTATAGTAATGTGAAAAGTGCTCTTTTAAATGAAATACTGTAAGCTCAGATGAGTGAGAGCTCTGAGATGGACGCATGTGAGGTCTGCAGCCGTCTAAGGCAAGAGAAGATTAATACTCTATAAAATCTGTTCCAGAATAAACAGAGTGGAGAGCGAGCCCTTGTGTCCGACTGTTTGATGACCGAATAGTGGTCGTTACACTTACTCCAATCTAAGAAATCAGAGTGTACTGTTTACATGCCCATTTGAATAATCAGATAACTGCAGAAATCTGATTATGATCGGATTATTGGATGAATGTAAATACACTCAGTGTCATATCGTAACTATGTTTACACCATTTGTAAACACCAACTGTGTGAACACTTCATGATGAATGGACCAATATGTTCTCCGAGAGGTTCCTTGGTGTTTGGTCGCAGCAAGAGGCTTGAATTTATAAACAGAGTGAAAACTGGTCTCGGATGAGATTCCATCAAGGGGCAAAAGAGACAGTGGCAATGATGAGTTGAGCGCTAGCAGTCAATAAAGAACGTGCTAACCAGCTGCTATAGCCGCGTCCAGCCTTCAGCGATCAGGTAAGGAAGATCATGAAGGACACTGCATGTTTGCGAATGGGTGCTAGTTATGTACTTGTGGATGAGCCTCCCGACAGGAGGCCACAGGCGTTTTAGGAGGAGAGACAGGATCGCCTCTCCACAGCAGGCAGAAGGAAGGAGCTGTAGCTTAGCGCTCGGCCAGACGGAGGGGTGATGGGGGACGTAATTAAATTTCCTGGCCGCTTCAGTGCCGTTATTTGATCAGTGCAAAGCAGGCCTTGGGGAGCCTCTTTTGTTTGCACTTGGCTTGAAAGGAATTAAGGCCGCGCTACAAAATCGGCCACTGGGAGTAGAGAATGCCCAACTGACCAGCAGGGCTGCTAGCGCGTCATCGCTAATGCTAACCCACAGATCTGCCACAATAAACGCAGTCACTGGGGTCCTAATCAGGCTTTGGGATGAGCAGCACCGCAGCCTTGAATAAACTCTGGGTGCTCGTCATGGTTTCTGGGCACAGGGTGAGCGAGAGATTAGCGATTAGCTGTTAGCGGTTGGCGACCAAGAAGCGCTTCCACTACTCACAGTCTTTGGAGTCCAGTGTACAGTGCCATGTCCACATCGCGTAGAGTCTGGAGGCCCGACCAGTTCTCAATGTGTCTGCAAAGCAAAAGCAAATTCATATTAGAGATTAATACAGAATTTTAAAACTCAGAGAATATTAGCAAATCTAAGAAACTCTGAATAAAGAGAACCTTGAATGCATCAACATCTACACTCTTAGCAAAAATGGTAGCATTCTGAGACTTTGTGGAACCCTTGTTGGAGCTGCATAGAACAATTTATTTAAAATGTTCTTTAAAGAACCATATACAACATGTTTTCCATCAGAAAGAACCATTTAACAATGCAAAGAACCATTTAACAATGCAAAGAACCATGACAATGCAAAGAACCATTTGACAATGCAAAGAACCATTTATACAATCTTATAGTTGTTTGAGATGTCACAGTTCTACATACCACTTTTTATTCCCTAAAGAACCATGTTTCACATAATGTAAAGGTTCTACACCAATTTAAGAGTTCTACCGAGAATACTTACATCATTAACACATTCTCTAAACCATGTATAGCTTTTGAAAGAACCTCCACATAATGTGAAAGTTCTAAAGGTTAAATGATGTGAAGGTTCTTTAAACTTTTCAAAAGGTTAACAAAAAGCTTTACATAATGAAAAAGCTTCAATACCAATTTAGAGTTCTTCGTAGAACCTTTACATTGTGTGGAGGTACATTAACTTTAAGGTTTGAAGAAACTTCAACTAATGTAAAAGTTGTAGGTGTTAAATGAAGTGAAGATTCTTTAAACCTTTCAAAGATTAAAAAAATCCTTCACTTGATGTAAAATGTTCTATACCAATTTAAGGGTTCTTCCTAGAACCTACAAGGTGCTTTAACTTTAAGGTTTTAAGAAACTTCAGCTAATGTAAAAGTTCTAAAGGTTGAATGAAGTGAAGGTTATTTAAACCTTTCAAAGGTTAAAAAACCTCCACATAATGTAAAGCTTCTTTAAAGTGTTCTTTAAACCTTAATTATCGTCACACCCAAACATTTTCATTTACATAAATGCTTCTCTGAACTGAACCACTGAAAGGTTCTCTAGGTAAATAAAAGAGGTTCTTCTATGGCATCACGTTTTTAAAGAATGTAGCCTAGCATTAATAACTGGACAGATGTGAATGGTTATTTGACTTCACCGTTTAACCTGCTGTTGGCTTCTAACAGACTGAAAACCGTGTTTCCTTAGAGGTTAGACATTTAAATAGGTACTGAAACTAAAATGTTGATTAATGTATTTTGTCCCTTAAAGTTGGACTAATTGAAAGAGCGATAAAACGCAGGCAATTACTGCACTTTCAGAAAGTCTGAAGCTGAAGAAAGCCATTAGCATTGGTGGATATGATTGAAGCAGTCAAGGCTAATCATCACATTGGTTCATGCAAATTAAAGGTCTCTTTACGGCGGATGTAAGGAGCACCAGCTGGTGTCAGCCTTTGAGAGCGTGTGAATTAGACCCCCATCATAACACACAGATGCTGATTAATAAATGTTTTCTTGAGTTGCACCAATCCTGTAGCAGTGTTTCGAGAAAGCTGCAAATAACCCCGTCCTCAAAACACTCTGGGCGAATGCTGCGGTGCTCTGATAGAGCCACGGCTCTGGAGAAAATTGCTGTAGAATCGCGCAGAATCAAAGAAAAGCTCTCCGCGCTCCGTATCGCGCGTTTACAGTGGAATTTAAAAGGCAGTACCATTTTCAAAGTGCTTCCCCTAAAACCGCGGAACATGCCGCAATCGTAAGAACCTCCTGCCTTAAAACCTCCAATGGTATGATTTGGAAACTAAGAGAGAAAAACAATTGAAACTTTTTTTGAGCTGTTTCACTTTGATTCAAGCAAGTTCTCGAATGTTCACCAGTCACGGCTGTGATGGTTTTAAACTATTTAATTGAACAGAAGTTCGGAATCAGAGTAACTAGAGAGCAAAAGCAAATAACAGCATGAGAATGACAGCGTAAAAGTAATGGACTCTGCTGGCAGCAGGCTCAGGAGAACACTGCAGTTATGATCGGCAATCATTTCTCACAGTTCTCCATTCTTGTTCACCTCAATGATGGAGCAACCACCTTCGTTATGCCACTGTAGTCATGGAGAACCCAGTCTAGTTCCAGATCTCAGCTAATAAAATGGATAATCCCAGTCCTAAAATCCGATTGGCTGGTTCGAAGCCGTTGTAAAATCCACTAATACACACACTGACCTCATCACAAACAACTAGACTCTGTATTACTGCGCCACCTCATGAAAATCTTTATGCTGTTAATTGAATAATCTTTGACTCTAATGCTGCTCGCATTGAGCACTGAGTGCACTGGTGAAGTAAGAACCCGGTTCTGTTTAAAATTAAGAGCTGACAACTTATTCTCTTAACTAGGTGGTCAGCTAGTTAACAGGCTAAAAGATAGCAAACATACTAAACAACTCCATCATTAATACCACAGGTTTGTACTTACAATACGATTTACTATAAAACGGCAATATTAAATTTTAAAAATATTAAAGACTAAGAAATGTCACTTGAATGTCTTACATGCTTCAAATGTCTGCGTTTCAGTCAGAAGTAGCATCGAACCTGAACTGAGTGGCTCTGTACTCCCTAAATAGTGTACTAGCTATGGATGTTTTGAAATTCTAGCTTCTGCAGCCAAACAGTGCATCATGTATCGAGTGTGGATGTGTCTGAGTCCCTAATGACTGTTTCTTAGCTGTACTTTGCTCTGTTGGGCTGCAGGATCCAGTATTTAAACTCCTACGTAGTGCACTATGTAGGGAGCAGGGAGACATTTGAGATTCAGCCCCAGTGTGAGAAGAGGGCGCCGCTGGATTGGTGCTAAATTAGACCTGTGGTGGTAATTTGGTGACTAAAACATACTTTTAAAGCAAAACGTTTTTGCATTAAGCAGTGCTGTGTTATCATATGTTAATTATTATTAGATTAAAAGTTAAAATGTTCATAAAATGACCACAGTGTACAGTGATGGGCGACTGAATGTTCTCATTCAGTAGTCCATGGATGCTTGGCTACAACACTATACTATAAAGGAACCACATTTTGTGGCGGAATACTTGTTTATATTGATTATTATCATGAATTATTCACTGAAAATTTGTGTATTTTATCATAATGTATGTTGTCCACTGTTTTATAAAAGCAATAAGCCGCCTGAGGCTGTGCGTTACAGTGATGTTATCAAGCGGAAGGGAGTTTTACTCTGCTTTGCGTCATGCCTGAGAACACCCTTCCCCATAATGAAACTGCAGTAATGCGCAGCCTCAATTGCAAATATGGCAACTATGATGTAATAGCTTATTGTCGTCACTTGCAAAGTGGGTAATACATAAGCAGCCAGCTTATCAATGAGACCAGGGTGAGGGTTAGGTTTAGGTTTTGGGTTGAGGTTTAGAGTTAGGGGTTCAGGGTAACTCGCTTTTGGGCCAAATCAAACATGCCAAAGGGCCAACTTTGGCCCAATATGTACTATTTTTATTAATAAAGTCACTAATATGAGCTAGAAACTGGACAGGCAGAGATTCCATGGTACTAAATTCATGATCACTGTATGATTAGACCCCATTTAGGAATCTGAGTCAAGTCAAGTCTAAGTTTATTTATATAACGCTTTTTACAACAGGTGTTGTCACAAAGTAGCTTACAGAAAAATCCATCTCCAAGCCCCCATGAACAAGCCAATGGCAGTGGTGGGAAGGGGAAAACTCCCTAAGAGCAAGAGGAAGAAACCCCGGACCGTATTACTTAATCTGACAGGTGAACATAAGATTTTTCCCAAATATGTATTACAGAGTGGATCCTATCATGATTTAGGAATCTTATCTTACAGCATCTTATCTCAAATTAAGAAATCTTGACTCACTCAAACAAAGTCGACAATCAATTGTCATGTCTGTTACCTAGCAGCTGACCATACACACACAGCTGAAACAAAACACGTAATCAAATCAAGCTAGCTAGCCAAACAGCTACCGCTACTGATATACAAAAAGGTCAAACAAAACTAAAGTGTGATAAACTTTAAGTAGTGAATACTGTGATAGCGCCCCCTGCTGTTTATCAGAGCGTCACCGCTCCACAGTTTCAGTCTCCATTTCCCCAAACGCTTTGGCCGAGCGCACTAACATTACTCCTCCTAATAAACAGACACACGTTCAGCTCCGTCCCCTCATTATTCATCACCATCACTGTAATATTTCATCAACATTAACACACAAAGGTGATCAGAGGGGCGGTGGAGATCGAGTCTGCAGCGTCTGAGATCTTTAAAACGCAGAGTTAGAAAAGAAAATCATCTCACAGTGAAAGCAGCGTTTTACAGTAGAAATAAATGGAGCTCATTATGCTGGTAGTGAACTATGCTGCTGACACAGCTGCCTAAAAACCATAGAAACGGACCTTAAACAGAAGTGAGGACCCTGTTGGGGTTCATCCTAAAGTTAGGACAGGATTTAGGAGGTTTAGTCTAGTTAGGATGTTTGTGTGATGCTGTTTTCTCATCTGGAGTTCATGATGAGATCATGAAGTTAGGAACTGTTATTCTGGAACAGCTACTGTCCTGAATTCAGTCTGTACTGAAGTCGTCATGGAGACTAAACAGATAAGATAAGATTTTAGACTTAAGAAGTTTCTGTAATACAGCCCCTGGAGAGGAACCAAGACTGAACAGGGGGACCCATCTTCTCTGGTCTAAACAATAACAAAAGACAGTAAGGTTTAACCATTAGAATAAGTATAAGATATGGAAAAGGGGAAAAGCTCCAATGTCTATGATTACAGAGAGTCTCTACATGCAGCAGTATCATCACTGAGCACAACTCTGACACCCTGGAATAATAGTACTTTACAACTTTGACATGATAAATGCATTGACATTCAAGCCACTCAATTCCTTGATGCCAGAACGCAGCTATTTATCATATCTGTAGCACCTACACAAGCTTCGGCACCCACACTCAGAACTGATTGCACTTGCATGATGTGAAAATCCATCGTGGAAGTATTGGCAGAATGGGCAGATGGTTTTGTG